TTTTTTTTTTTTTTTTTGCCATGAACTGTACTGTAAAATTATCTAGCCCTACTATCTCTAGCACTAGTAGAGATGCACACGTTTGATACCTGTATTGTGTAGCTTACAGTTATCACACCGTTTATTAAATCTACATACTATGGGTATCTACTTATAAAAACAATTATAAAAGGGATTTACATGTACGGTGAGGTATCAAAATGTTGCCATGTGCTTCCCTAGTAGATCGAAGGGCATTAGGTCATCAAAAACATGCAAGAACCTGTTTTGACGGTTTAAAGAGTGGTTTTCAAAAAGCAAATCATGTTCGGTTAATATTCATATTTCCATCGGGCATTTTAAGTCCTTACTCTAATCAGCATACGTTGTCATTATCATTTTTTTCTTTACATAGTCTACTATAGAATTGGCCGTATGCTTTACACAGACGTTTTTGTGTTCACTGTCTGACAGGCACTTGCCCAATAAGCCCTAGGTTAGTTCTCAGTTCAGCAACAACATATATGTCTTTATTGCCTGCAGCAGTTGTAAGTTTGGGCGATGAAAATATATATTTAATAGGAGTGTGCTGGCATTGTAGTACCATGGTACGCAAAGATGTTGAAAACAGAATCTGCTTGGTTTGTCAATGCATATTCCACGCGTCCTGCCATGACGCAATCATTGCTGACATAAATTAGCTGAGAATAACGCACTTGGCAACGTTTTTAATCAGGAAGAAGAAATTTTGTTTTCCTCTGTTATTTGTTTTTCTTGTGTTATTGAATGTATGATAAGGTAATAAATACATATAAACAGGAACAGAAAATAAAAATGGTAACATGGCGAGCTTGAGAATTCTGCCTTCAATTCTGCATGGTATTCCTCGATTCAAACTTTTTTTGCTTTCTGAATTCATTTAAACGTGAAGAAGGGAACAATTTGTCAAAATTAATTTTTAAGTTATTGATTAGCTTTGATGATGTGCGGTTTAAATTAGGCATACACTGTTTACATAAGAACTAGTTATATACGTACTAAATGTTAAAAGAAAAAGATGCCCGAAAAGTCACAAAAGCTGAAAATCACATGAGCTGACAAAGGGATTCCAAAGTTGATCTTTTAAATACGCTTTATATTAATTTACTTATCTTCTTTTTAAAATTGGCAATGGTTTTCAAGGGCAAAAATTGAAAAGACAATCATAAATATTTGTAATAGACTAAAGTTCACCATACAGCAATGTTTTTCTTACCTTCTTGAGATTGCGATATCTCCAGAATACATCCTAGGATCACCAGGAGGCATAGGATCCCTTTATCTTTGAAGTTAGATCCCATCGTAAGTTCCACAGCACATTGAAGCACAAATAAATGTATAAGTGTTACTTTATAAAATCACAGCTACACGCCTCACTGTCAGATCTGTGTTGCCGAACCTGCGGACACTCGATCTGAGAAAGAGGGGAGTTTTCCCCCAAGAAGTTATCACTCTTTCTGCTTAATTTCTTACAGCTAGGAACTATTTCTTGTACTGTAGAAGGGATCCACCCTTTTTACCAGGTGTCATCACCGATTAAGAATTTGTCAGGTAAGGTGCGTCTTCTCACCTGCCTGGTTGTCTGACCTGTGACAGAGTGGCACGAGTGATGTAAAGGTTTTGCCAAACTGGCCGCGTGCTGACAGCCAACCACGAGAACTTCCACGTGCGCACGCCCTACCGTGACGTGTAATTCATAACCTTTGATAAGCACGACACTTCAAGCAATTAACTTCGCCGCACTTTTTAGAAAAAAGACAGACTACAAGTCGAAGTTTGCTGAAGACTAGAGGCAAAAGTTTCCTGTGGTTCTCGTTGGGTGTAGGTCGTAATTTGTATGCGACACAGACGGCCGCAATGTTTTTGATCATATTAATTATTCTGTGCAATATTTCCCTTCGAGCTAAAAGGTTGTTAATTTCATACACAGCTTCGCCTTCACTTGCTCAGCATGTAGATTTTCTTAATATTATTTGTTTGATTTTGGTGTAGATTTACATTGTTTGGTAGATCAGATTTTTAAATCTTGATTTAACAATTTATAAAATTTAAAAAAAAGTGATTAAAGGCTTACAAACGACATTTTGGAGTTTAAATTTTTTATTTGCACTAATGTCTATCTCCAAGACGAGGCTCAGCATCAGAAACTTCGAACTCAAAAACGGGTTTATAGATATAATGTTGTCGACGGTTTGGGGTGTGGTACACCGTGGAGACTGCGGTAAACGTGTTGAAAGTTTGTATACTTATATATTTAATTTTGCTACGTAGGCATAATGTATGCATTGGAATGTTAACTGTGGATCTGGCAAACGAAAATGCAAGGTGTGATAAATTTTAAATTTAACGCGTAAACTCGCACATTAGAAACAGAAACGTTTTATAGTTGAAAGTAATGCCCTATAAAAAAAATCATGATTACGCGCTGTCTACTCGAATAAGTCCTGGGGGTGGGGGTTGGGGGAAGAAACTGGTTTTGTGTGCGTTTTACACATACAGTTGTTTTGGCAGTGAGTAGATACCACTTAGCAAATCATTGATCCCAAATTTATTAAGATCACGCAAAAGACAATAATTTAATGTATTTCAAAATTGAAAAACTTCAATAGATCAATTTATTGCTTCTATAGACATACTTCTAGTTTTTTACGGGTTTCTCTTCGTATGAAACAAAGGAATAATTCATATAACGCATTTTATTCACAATTTTCTAAAGATTACTCCAATGCGGACATAACTGCATTTAAAGAAATATAAATACACTTTTTAGGAAAATAGGATATTTTAAAAAAAGAAAGTGACAAAATTGCCCTTTTTATTGCATCTGATCATCATCAGACTAAAACAGAACGCCAAGAAAGTTTCTAACCATCCAGATATTGCAAATATATAGCCATAACTCATATGTCAAAGCAAGTGCATGTAACCTATATAAAATATTCACGTTTTTCATAATTCAAATATCTAATTGTAGAGTAGCAAACCACAAGGCCATAGGCTTGAACTGTTTACCAACCAGGGAGGAAGAAGACGCTTCTGGCAGTGACCAAACTTGTTTTTGGAGATTTTGTAATGCAGATTAAAATAACTGGAGGATTTTAATACATTTGGTTTGTTAATATTAATCACGTGCATATTTCAAAGGTTACATGAAGATAATATCAAGAGTAAGGAATAACATTTAGCAACTCGGTTCTCATTAATACACAAGTCAAAGTCGCTGTTTTCTCGTCCCTAGGGTACATGGCTATCAATATCTTACGTATGTTAATAATATATCAGATTTGTTAATTAAATATTTTGAATATCATGTATAATAAGTTTATTATTTTCAATCATAGGATCAATTTTACATGACATTAAAAAGAAAAATCATAATAACAAGAGATGACTTGAAATACAAAAACAAAAACAAAGAAATCTTTCGACATGAAAAAAGTTTTTTAAACATCTGATATTACAAACGTACTACACCTCGTCAATACTAAATCCACATCAAAGTGGCACCCATCATGAATACATGTACCACTGGACTTCATTTAGCCAGCGGGGAAAGCATAGCCATGTTAAGGCCGCCATCTCAGACTGGAGTCTTCACAGTTGCCCCCCAGCCATTCTACGGCCCCAGGAATACCAACTGGGAGGTCAAGTGATTATACAGGATCTATCACCTTCCTCACTACAAACAGGTATCTATTTCTATTCTTTGTTGCTTATTCTTAAAAATCATACTATAAATGATATTATGCTTTGATGAATACAATAAATATGTGAGTGCTACATAAATAACTAGAAAAGCACTCTGCGTAACCTCTGCCAATACATAAATTAAGTCATAGTTAATTAATAAATTAATGGATCATCACCAAAATCTTTTCATTTTTTCCTTTGTCCATTTTTGACTTAACCTGAAAATTTTATTAAATTGGTCCATTTATGATCTATTTTAAAAATTTAATTATTAAGTAATTTATTTGTTAATAAATGTATCAACACCAAAATCTAATCATTACTTTCTTGAGCCATTTGTGAACAATTTACTCAAAAACTATCGATTGCCACAGAAAAAGGTTATGAAAATATTACCTCCACGTTGTTGGAGGTAGTTATGACTAAAATGCAAAGACAGGACTCTATTGCTGCAGCGTAAAAGAGAGTCGCTGTAGGACACTACTTGGTCATACAAGGTCACAAAGGTTAAAATTACCTTCAGTGATGGAATCTTAATCAAATCTGGCATAATGACAAGCGTTTTGTAAGTAAATGGAATAACAACATACAGTCATGGATAACTCTTAGAACTATTTTTCTCTGAGCATTTATAATATTTATTGTCACTGCACTTCACTCTAATTAAAAAGAAGGCTGGGTTAGGTAACATTAACCCTTTCACATACTTGTTAACAAGTAAAGAGGACAGCTTAGTGAAAATGGAAATAGTTTGATAATTTATGTCAAAACTGAAAATCTTAACCTTAAAGCAAGTAAAGAAACAACCTTTTGGTTGTGTAAATCTTTAATCAACCCCAGATGTAATAGAAACACATGTAGGATATGTTAACAAATGACTCGTTTCATGACTGTTACACGTCAATCACCTATGGGCAGAACTGTTTAAATAATAAAGTACAGTTCAGTCACCTATAGGCATAACGGTGATCTCTCCATATGCACTTGGCCGATGACCAAGAACATTCATCATGGGTGTTGATGAGCTGGTGGTCAGTTTTGGTTTGTCCATCTCGGGCGAGTTGGGAGCTGTCTGGGCTTGGTCCTGACTCATGGACTCGAAGCGCTGCTGTTTCTGCAGGAAGGAGAGTCTGCGGGCCAAACTCAAAACAGTGCCACGCCTTTCATGCGGAGGAGGTGGAGGGGGGCGGGGAAATGTGGAGTTCATCTTTAACTGTTTAGGTTTAACTGGTGGAGGCTGGGGGATGCTGTCCTTCTTAACTGGCTTTGGGGTGGAATGATCCTGGTGTTTGGGGTCATCTTGGTATTTAGAGTGGCCCCCCTCTCCTATGGCTGGCTGATATCCACTATCTGAGCTCTCGAAGACACTGCTCCCCATGCTGGGGATGTCCTGCCCATTGAGGTCCAGAATCTGGGGGAGGTCCGTAAGGTGGATGTTCTCAGAGCCTGCAAAGCTTGTGTTGCGGCTTTGGGGTATATAAAGATAGGACTGGTGACGTTGGTAGGCGAAGTCTGACATCTCGTGGTCTTTGTAGTGTTTTGTCAGTTGATGCCTACAACAAAATACATTTTGTATGAGGAGTTCCATTCTCCCACTTTCAAAATAATATAAAATCAAAATTCAAATCTTTTAATAACACAAACATTTTTATCTTATCTGACTGAAATGTAGCAAAATGTTGGTAAGAATATCAGTGGGTTAATGTTATAATTGTACAAGTGTATATACCATTTGACAGTTTTTGTGAAATAAAAGACTCATAAAATCCCTACCTTTGATACCACCGATATAATAACAGCAAACCAACACATAACAACAGCAGTATTATCAGCATGGCAATAACAAACAATGCTACCCCTGAAAAATAAATTAAGAAAAACATTTGAAAATTGCTGTTATATGGAGTTTAAGTTTATCATTCGAAAACTCATCATGGATGGGAAACTGTGATAATGTGAACATTATATGTTTTCAAGGTATCTAAATCAAAACTTTTCTTCAATGCCTACAAATATCAGAGCAAATATCACTTACACACTGGGTTGTCTGTCCAAGGTGGGTCCTCCACCAACAAACTGGGCCTCGCATCAACTGTAATCACAAGAAAAACTTGGGGAAATTATAAGAAATAAAGAATAAATAATCCCAATAAAATTTCAAGGCAAACATTTTTCTGAAATCAAATATCAAAGTGAGAACTCTGAATACAATATTATTGTAAAATACAACATATCGCCAGTAATAACTGTAATTACTATAAGATAAAAAAAATTCAGACATTACAAAACACCCAATAAAAATCAATAAAAATGTGAAACATAAAATATCAAGATGTGAAGTATGAATGCAACTGTAACACACAACATACCACAAGTGGTGTCTTCCTGTATATACCCAGTGTCACATGTGCACATGCCACTGATACAGGTGGCTCTCTGGATACACAGGTCTGTGGGGGTACAGGCTGCTCCTGGGGGGAGGCTGGGAACTGGGGGAGGGGGAAACAAATACAATGGTTTGAGATAAAACAAAGAATTTCATTATCTGTGCTGTGCAATCAATGCAATCAAACAGCTACACTCAGAGTAATTTGAATGTGTCAAAATGTTTAGTTGGCTGTGATGATAAAGCCCCACATGGAAGCACAAGGGATGTCAACTGTCTATATAAAAAGAAAATAAATTTTACCAAGAAGTTAAGTTTGGGCAACCTTAGAAATCTTTTTTATATAAATCTGCTGGCAGATGTATGTGTTATTTTCATTTAAGACAATTCTTTTATGATCTTGGAAAATGCAACAGTTTGAAAGTACCTGTTTAATTACGGTGCATTTTATAAGATGTTAAATTAAAGGCATTGTTATTTTCAAAGTGTACTTAGTTCCTGTTTTTTTTTTAACTGTTGCTATTTATGCTTAAGGCATTTCCTTTAAAACTATGGAATGAGAAGGACATAGAAATTGTCTGTAAGATCATGGTGACATCTTGAAATGCTAAATTTTTTAAAAGGTCTATTAATTGCATCCGCTTTAAATATGTTGACAACTTGGCAGAAAAATAATACTTTTTGCTTAGGGCAGTTCCTCTTAAATTTTCAGGAGAAGCAGAGGTCATGAAATGTTTATTACATCACAGTTTGTGGTGCCTGGAAATCAAAGGATTTTGGGACCTGAGGACGAAAAAAATGAAAAAAAAAACAACAATATATGTTTTCATGATGTACATGGAATGGGCTAGCTATTACTTACCACAAGCCCCTCTTCTTGCATAGAATCCCTCCACACAGACACAGTGATCATCTTGGCAGATGACATTGTTGCCAGTGCAAAAATCCCCAGGCAGACAGCTGCCATACAACAATCCAGCAGACACCGGAGCTGGAGAGATAATTACTCTACGTTAAGTTGAAATTTACTTGCACTTTCACATGTATATAAACAAAAGGTTAAAACATAATTATAATTTTAAACAAAAGAAATGAGACTGAGATTCATTGTTAAACTGGTAGCAATACACTTGCATGTGGATGATATGTTTGACATAAATATGAGCATATGGAAAGGCAAATCTCATGACATGAAAAAAATTTCACACAGAGGGAATAAGTATAATAATGTGAAAGCACTAGGTGTTCAAGTCTACGTGAGTGCTGCATAACAGATATCTACTGTCATAAAATGTGAACATGAAAAACAAGTGCACTGGCCAAGTCAGGCCTAGAGGGAATTGATCTGAGATCTGAGAGCAGAAGTTGTCCTCAACTGTAATCACCATGGACAGTGGCAGACCACTGTATCCTTGGCAACCTGCCACTATTGTCCTGGTCAACTCGAGTTACACCAATCACATCACTTCTGGCCTATATCCATAATAACTAGGGTTATGACACTATAAACGCACCCTAATTACATACCTACTAGTCATAGAGGCACACACCTCCCTAATTGTCATGATGAGTAAATTGTAATATCTGTGGGAAGCATGCAGTGTAAATTAATATATGTTACAATCAGTTTACTCTTTGTTCTACAATTTTGAAATCCCCCTCCCTTGTTTTCTGGCTTTCTTTTTTTTAAATGGAAGAAACTACACATTCTGAGGTTCATTGAGGGTGTTTATACGTGTACTTCAAAATGCCCCAAACTGCACAGCTTTTGCATAAAGTATCAAGGCAAAAAAAGACATATCCATCAATTTGTATACCACTCCCTCTTCATGATACCCTGAAGCCACCAGTCCAAAAACAAAAGTGCAAATCCTGTTGTAGCCTCTAAAACCAATCCTATCAAATGGATACAAACACTCGGGACACAGTTATAGTGCTGTGGTGTTACACTTACTGCAGCTTCCCCCCACGTTGGCGTACTTTGCCTGACACTGGCAGAAACCTCTGGTACAGACTGCTTTCTTGTCCTCACATATATCTCCTTCTGTACAGGGAGAGGAGAGGGGGATGGTGGGGGCTGAAATAAGATCATAATAATAAAAGCTCTGTTAAAACAATATGTCATTGAAAGACGTGCTTGACCAGAAAATTCTCAGACATGATTTGGGGTTGAAAGAAAAAAGAAATGGCTTAGTGGCCTTATAACCAGTTTGGGGGCTATTTAAATTGTTGAGAAAAAAATCAGACTTACAATTTAAATAGAAAAAAGATTTAAAGATTTTAAAATATCTATTAACCTGTTATTAAAATCAGTTATACACAGTAACAAAATGTAATCCATTGGTTAAAAAGATTAAAACTAATTTCATAAAACAACTCTATTCCTGCTAGCAGTCTACAGGTGTGCAAGGTGCAGTCTTACCACAGACTGATCCGTTTTGTGTGTAGAGAGGAGAACACTGACACTGCCCTAAGACACAGCTGGCGTGATCTGCTCTACACACATCAGACAATACACAGTCTGCATTCAGGGGTAACACTGGGACTGAAATAATACAGTTTCCAAAAGTATAGTCTTGTATTTAAGCCATAAAATTTACGAACTTTTAAGTTAATTCTTTTACATTATCATTATAAAAATAATTATCATTATTATTATTATCAACATCCTTAATATAATCTTTTTTCTTTTCATTTTGCAACCAATTCATAACTTCACAAAAATGATCTTACTTCTCCAAAGAATAAGAATAAGGAGAATTTACATAGAAAAGACATCTCAGAATAAATGAAAGAACATATAGAGTGTAAATTATAACTACTGACCACAGTGATCCCCCCATCTGTAATATCCTTCCTGACAGGTGCATTCCCCACTACTGCACACTGCACTGATGTCTAGGCACTGGTGACCAAATAGACACACGTCTCCAAGGCTGCCTAGGGGAACTAGAGGAAGATTATCAAAATACAGGATTTCATAAGTTCAAACTTGAGTGCAAGTAATATAAGGCACGGCACATGATTTTTGATTAATAAAAGATATTAAAAATTGAAGTTTTTCAATTATCAATTAGTTATTCACATAAAAGGAACAATGACAATTGCATCATTCTCCCAATGACCTATTATTTAAAAATCCCTTATAATTTTCATCAAGACCAATACCTACAGTTCCTCACTCTTGGCAACTCTAATGACATGAGGTACAATTGCTAAACAAAATGTCAATAAAAAAAGACAAATAAAATGCTGAAAGCAAATTTACCACAAAATCCTTCCTTCTCCTGGTAGCCATATTGGCAGACACACACTTGATTCCTGCACGCCGAGTTGGAAGCTCCACAAGCCCTGCTGCCACTGCAGGCACCCCCTATTGCAGACTTGAGAACTACAAGTAAGACATGATAACTGAATTCATCCACTTTATATTGTTTATGGGCACCACTGCTAATCCAGTCTCTACATTGTACATTAAGGCAACATTTTCAATTCTTTACCTAGAAAAAAATCCCAATTACTGTTATGCTTCACAAGTTGCTCGATTGTTCCAATGGCACAGATTATTCATATTTGCTTTGGCATAATGTTATCTTCATACTTACCACATGTTCCAGAGGAATCAAAGTAACCCTCAGCACAAACACACACATTTCCATCACATGTGCTGTGCTCTGATTTACACTGTCTTCCAAGTAAACATGGTCCATAGAGACTCCCTGGTTCTCCTTGGGGAACTGTGAAGATAATAGATTATTTAAACACAATTATTATAATTATTGTGTTCTATACTGTTCTTTTTAGTGTATGGCTATCTGGCTGTAATTGGGAGAAAAGAAAGCAGCACTACTTGTAATGAATAATGACAATCTGATCTTCATATTAAGAATGTTACATGATCTATATGATTTTAAATGGCTATATGTTCATCTAAATTTAAACATTAAAAATCCTACACATCTAAAGCATGATGTACATAAAAGACCCCTAGGCAAGAAAATTTAATGTTTGGAACATGAAACTTTGCAAGTCATAAAATGTCTTATCTTCCATAATTACAACAAAGAGCATATTTAAGAGGACATAAATCATGGCTGAAAAAAACTTGCTCCTTACAATAATATATCACAGAGTAGTTTCATTTCATACATTGCTCACTGTCAATTAATCCATTCATAATTTTTAAATTATGTTGTTAAAACAAGAATCCATAAATGCTGTGGATATGTGGCAATTGAGCGTTAGAAACCAATAAAAATTTAGTTTACCTTAGTCATCTCATGTATCATGCAAGTCTCTAAAATTAATTACTATAACATAAGTTAAGATGAGCCAAGATAGTTTCCCTCAAATCTGCCTACCACAAGATGTTCCAGACTGTAGAAATCCCTGTGCACACTGACATCGTCTGCTCTGACATGATGAGAACATTCCCTGGCAGACGTCTCCCTCCTCACACACACTGCCCAGGGGGAGCTGGCTGACTGGCATTGAGAAAGGAATTTATTACATCATACTGAATAAAACATTATTATTTTATGATTTTTCTTTTTCTTCAAAATCCAAAATCATGAAAAATTCTGTAAAATGAAAAGATACATACCACAAGAACCTCTGTTCAGGTAAAAGCCCTCCATGCACTGGCACCATTTTCCATTACAGAAGGCATTCTCATCCTGGCAGACATCACTGGAGCTAGTATCACAGGCTGCCATGTTTGGACGCTTTGGCACTGAAAAAAACAGTGACAAGAAAAAAATGCTTTAACATGTGTAAATCAATGCTTCTAGCCCCTTTATACAAGAAACAAATTCATTGAATTGAAGAACAAAAAAATAAAAATAAAAATAAATAAATAAATAAATAAATAAATAAATAAATAAAAAGAAACACTCATAACTTACCACATCTTCCATTGTTTTCATAAAAGCTGGGATGACAGAGACACAGTCCGCCCTGACACACAGTATTGGAGTCTATACAACCTGAGCCTGACAAACACGGGGCAGACAGCGTGCCTTTGATTTCTACAGGATAGAATAAAATATCAGACAGGACGGTGTTTGTATACTTTCATCCAAATACTGCTGTTAGCAATGATTTTTAGCAACTGTCAAAAAAAGATATATCTCGAAACTTCCATAGTGTAAGATATGAAAAACGTGATAGAGTTGAAGACAACATTAATGTCTATAATTAAATAAATTAAAACCTGTTTTCCAATTTACTTACTGCAGACATCACCAGTGAAGTGAGTTTGAGGATGACACTGGCACACACCACCATGACACCCGGCATTAGGTGTGGCACATTCCACATCCAGACTACACTTTATCAGCAGTGCCTTCTTCAAGGCTGAAATTAGAAAGGACTTTTTCACTGATTAATTGGTGTTTGCAGATTTAAATGTTCAAGTTATCAATCCAAAATAATACACTCATAAGGATGCATATAGTTACTATTTCTCTAAAAATGAGTTGATTTATTTTCATTATGTAACAGCTTTGCTAATTTTTATAACATTCAATAAGATTCACTCACTCTTCTGCATATATTTCCAATAAAAACTCAATTAGACTTAGGGCACCTATCTAAGGTATAATATTTGACCAATCTAAGCTATGATATTTGACATACAGCATATGTTTCCAATAGGAAAGTACCCCTGTCTGCATTCACATATACCACTGGGTGCACAGTGCATTGTATCTGGATCACTACAGCTTCCTTCATCAATACAGCTAGCATGCAGACTTCTACGCACACGAGACAGTGCTAAAAGGAAAACACAGGCACTTAGATACATTTCTTTAGTAACTAGAAAGTTAAAATGGACAGAAAATTTTACTGATATCAGGACGATTAAAATATTTTATGAAAGTTTACAAATAATTTCGCATTACTAATATTAAGTTACATCCTTAAAAACACATTATAAAGTGGAATTTATCAGTAAAAGAATGTAATGAAAAACAATTAAAATAGATTCAATGGAAAACTTAATTCTCCTTTTCAGAGTTTTCATTGAAAAAAATTTTAAATTTGTATCCTGCTATCAACTCTTTTTCACAAGCTAGTGTTGAGTCACAATTACATGTGTAAGATCTGCTTGTATTTTGACTTCTACATTAAGAAATTTCAAAATACACCATAGTTCAGGCTTACCACAGATCTGCCTTGTCTGTATATATGGTTGTTTACAGGTACAATCTCCTCCTATACACAGAGCATTAGCATCAGCACATTCCTGGCTCTCAACACATACTGCACCAAGTAAGACCTTTTCTCCTGAAAATGTAGAATTTAAGTGGAGTCTAATCCAATTAATATATAATACTAGGCGACTGAATGACATACAAAAACAAAATCAAAACTTTTTAATTGCTTTTTTGTAAAATAAATGCACTCAAATGGAGCAGCACTTTATGGTCATAACTGCGTTAAACTTTGAAAGTATCCTACAAATTTCAAGGTGCAAGTTTAAATCAGTATGAAATTTTTAAGAATGTCCTCAAGCTGAAAGGTGCTCTGTGACAACTGTGACATGTCCCACTTACTGCAGTCCTGTCCTGCTGGGTAGAAGTCCTGTCTACATGTACACAGACCATAGCTACAGTGGAGACCTGGGGTAGAACACACAGCGTCTGGCAGACATGGGGAATTCAGCACACCCCTGGGAGCTGAAATATTCCAATTGTCAACATTCACAAGGCATACAAAATACAATAATTTTGTACACACATATTGATACTAATTGATCATCAAACTGTTGGCAGAAATCAGGCATTTCATCTTTCCTTCATTTTTGACAGTACCATGATAGAATTTGAAATAGAATGCTTTATGTACAAAAAGCTTCTTATAAAAATATAAAATTAGTGTGAATATTTTTAAAAGTAAAAATCTGTTATTAAAGGACAATGTTCATGTAAAAATCCATTTCTCGAATTTAGNGTTGGGCATGTTTTCTGAAGAATATGTTCAGTTCAGGCCATTCTGACGGCATGAAGCAAACCCTTTAAGCATAGCAAATATACTCACTACATCTGCCATGCACTGTATAATATGCCTCAGTACAAGAACATATTCCCTGTGTACACTGTGCATACTGATCACCACAAATGTCTTCTGCTGTGCAGGACTCACCTAGCTGAAGAGATTGCTCTAGAAAACACAGTAAATAATGCCAAATTTAATTAAGAAATATAAGATATAACCAATTACATCTCATTATACGGAACTGAAATTGACATTATTTATTACCATAAAATTTAAAGCAAATGACAGTATACAATCATTTATACTAGTTGACATGCCATGTGTGTGTTGATATGATATAAAAAAACCCAAAACAGAAAAAAATATGTATACAAAACATGAAAACTCTTGTGGCTGTGAGAACTTACTGCACATCCCTTGTGTTTCATAGAAACCATCCTTACAGATGCACTTGTTTCCTACACACTGAGAGCCTGAAGTAGTACATCTCTGGTTTGTATCACAGGGGTAGCCCAAGACACCAAGGCGACCTGGAATTATGGTTAGATACTCTCATTTGGAATGACAGTGAAAATTTGATGTGTGTGTGTGTGTGTGCGTGTGCGTGTGCGCACACGCACGTGCATGTGTGGAGGCATGTATACATCAGAGAGAGAGAGAGAAGAGAGAGAGCTAGCTATGCTCACTAACCACAGCTCTTGTTAATACTGAAGTAAGCTTGTCTACACTGGCACTGTCCACCCCTGCACTCAGCCAGGCCATGAGAACAGGTGTCCAAAGTTCTACAGGGCTCTCCAACATCTGGTTGACGTCCTACGGGGATACACAAAGCATTGTTATTTCAGCACTAGTCTTCTTAAAATATACCAAACATTTCTTGACCTTTTTTATTTTTCACTGTATAATTTTTATTGCGTCATATTCAAACGGATGTCGTAGCTGCTAGCAAATAATTCATATTTTAAATGAATTTGAAAGCATCTATATCCAAATGCCATCAAACACTTATATAAGACTTATCCAAAATTACTCACTACAAATGCCATTATTAGAGAAGTATCCATCTTTGCAGAGGCAGAGGTTATTTCTACACACAGCATTGGTGTCTCTACAAGCCCAGCCAAACAGACAGCCACTGTTCAAAGTACCCAGGGGCTCTGGAAATGGAACAATGGTCATTATAACCAACAACAGAATGACATAATTGTATATGCCACCAAATAAGTTTCTGTCACCATTTTTTCTTAAAATGTAAAGGTAAGTGAAGACTGAAGGCAGGAGCATGCACGCACACACACACACACACACGATACCCACCACATGTGTCCCCAACTGTCTGGTAAGCAGCCTGACATACACATGATCCCTGTACACATTCTGAGTTCACATCACTGCACAGGGCACCAACACTGCAGGGGAACTCTACAGCTGCTGTGGGCACTGGAATGGCAACAACATTCACTTGACAAATATGATCTTAGTAATATTAACTGGAAAAATCAACATCAGGTAATTGGCTGAAACTCTTTTAAAAAGTTCACCAGACAAATATCCAAATGTTAAAATTGTCATCCTCATATATTTAATTGGAAAACTTACACATATTTTATATCTTAACATGTAACAGACAACCAACATTTTCTCCATATAATACAAAGTTATAGAAAAAACAAAATAATACTCTTTATATTACAATGTAAACAAAATCAACCAGTGAAATGTTTTGACTTAACTCACCACATCTTCCAGTCTGTGGAGAGAACCCATCTCTACACTGACACTGGGACCCGTGACATGTCATGACGTCACCTTGACACTCTTCTGACCTGGCACAGACATCTCCCAGACTCTTCTTGGGAACTGAGGATGCATATTTAAGTACAAAAATGATAAAAATATCCTCATTCAAAGTCTTTCTGTCTTTAACCAAGAACAATTTTTTTATGTTTCCTCCATCCTTCCACACCACACACATCATGATGCATGCAAAAAGCAGACACCAGAAACGAAAAATTTATGACTAGGCCAATCCAGGCCAAACAGGTAATCTCATTCATAATTAGATTACCAGGTTTGGATTTAATTGGAACAACTCAGGATACTGTGTCTTCTTACCACATTGAGTGCCATCAGCATAGTATCCATTCCTACACACACATACTCCAAACTAGACAGGAACCTTCTACTTACCACACTGAGTGCCATCAGAATCATAGTATCCCTGTCTACACACACATATTCCAGCCCTGCACTCAGCCTTGGCATCCAAGCAGCCTGTGGGTACGGCACATGGTTGCCCCAACCCTGCCTTTGGTACTAAAAGTTCATCAAATTTTTTTAATAATTTATGTGCAAAGCAGAATCTGAATATAAGTATGATGTTAACACGTATAAGGCTCTAGGTAGGAAAGACAAGAAAACATTTCAGAATGCAATACTGCAATAAAAATCTCAAAAAATTCAAAAACTGGCTTTAACACATTTCTTCTTCTCCTCACCACAGAGTCCATTGCTAATGTAGTCTGTAGCCAGGCAGACACAGGTCCCACTGCTGCAGTATCCCCCTGCCTCTGAACACTCTGCACTGGTTTGACAGGAAGCACCAAGGGAAGACAAGGGGACTATATGGAGGTACAAATAAAATATAAAGGGTTACAAGACAAACACAACAGGGTGTGGTGCTACAATTCAGATGGAGGTCAAGAATGAAACCTAATTTGAAAACAGGAGGATTAAAATTGAAGATGCACCACAGCCCAAGGGGGTGCCATATTCAGACCAAAAATTAGAAGATGGTGTTTTCTAAATCATGCCACCATAAAAAACAACTTTTCATCAGAGTAACTTACCACAAATCTCTCCAGATTCTGCATAGCCCTCTTTACATTGACAGACACCTAGTTTATCACACCTAGAGTCAGCCACCCTGCAGCCTTGATTTGAACTGCACAATCCTCTAAGACCTTGTTGCACAGCTAAATGAAATGGTCATAAATATTAAATCTCAACCCAGAGAGCCATTACTGTAATTAGACTATAAACTATTTTACACAAACAATAGAAAGCAAAAAAAGGTATGTCCATGTAAGACATTTAAACCTACTGCTAAAATATTCTTATGTAACATTTCTGTGCATTGAGCTGATCAAAAAGGAAGAGGACACATTATGAGAACAAATGAAGTAGACAGGATGGGTTATGAACTCAAATATAGGACTTCGAATAACAAAATGTACCATTCATGGTACCCCTAAAACACACATGCACACACACACACACATGCACCCCTTGGACTTACCACATACACCACTGTTGTCATAGTAACCCTGAGTACACCTGCACACCCCACCTTCATCACACACTGAGAAAGGCACAGAGCACATGGCTGAGCTAGAACACTGACCATACAGGCCAGAGAGACTGGCTGAAATATCATGTGTAATAACTGTTTAATGAAAAAGTCTTATCAGAAATATTCCTCTATAAAGTAAGGGTAGGTAATTGTTTTGCATAACATGTATATTCTCAGTTTATAAGAACAACAGAATCATTAAAAAAAAAAACAAATTACTTTTAACAGAATATGAAAACACTCAAATATACATCAATAAATTTGAACACCAACCACAGACTCCACGAAGTGCAGTGAATCCTTTCTGACACTGACAAGTACCAGTTCTGCAGACAGAGTGAGGGTCTTGGCACTCTATGTCTATTCCACATGGCAGGCCTAATGGTTGTAGAGGTACTGGAGAAAGAGAAGGACAGAAATAATATGTCAGCAAAGAGCGAGGTGCTGATCTGCTATTAAACAATGACTGTATAGTGAATGAACTGCTCATGTTGGTGAATAAAATAGGCAAGAAAAATACCCTTTAACTCCATTCTACATTTCTTCTCCACCAAAAATAATGTAAATTCTGACCATGAAAAGCTATCACTATAATTCAACAGCTTACCACAGTTACATTACCTACAACAGAGATCTCTGTCAGCACTTTAGCTGATTTTTCTTACATAGCACGGGGGTTCTCAATAAACCAGTTACCATATTTACTGCAGTACATACCACATGCCTCCCTGTCAGCTACATAGACATAGTCATCTCTACATCTACACTGGCCATTTCTACACAGAGTGTGAGGGTGCTGACACTGGGTGCTGCTTTCACATGGCTCACTAAAACCTGCCTCAGAAGCTAAGTCAGAAGATATGCAATATTATTGTGAGAAAACAGACAGAAATGCTTCCAATGTACAGATTATAAGGTGTCTCTTAGTTAACAAATTTTAATGCTGTAGTGTATAAACAAGATAATTTGAAAATAAATTCTTCAAACTTGCTATCATGAAAGAGAAGAACATGATCTCTCTGTCCTATTGTAATTATACAATTACTTACCACAATTCTCCCCCTCAGGCAGGTACCCTTGCTTACAGCTACATGCCCCATTATTACACAAAGCATTGGCAGTCTCACACTGGAGATCAGTAGAACAACTAGCAAACAGGCTACTAACAGGGACTGGAAAGAACAAATAATGTGCCAAATAATGAAGCATAACTTACGTGAATAGCTAGAAAGTTTTTAGCAATTTCTAAAATTTCCTGGCTGCACTTATATACTTCAAGTCTAGCTGTACTAAACTGTGAGTAAAGAAATGCATGTTTTATGCATGTTTTCGAAATAATCTCTTACAATGATCACTTACCACACTGGCCATTCAGGAAGGCATCCACATAACGCTCTGTGCAGACACACCTGGCACCCAGACAGTCACTGTGAGCTGGGCGACACTGGGCACCTACTGTACACTCCTCATTTAATGATTTCAAGGGTTCTGGAAAAAAAATGAATGATTCTGAAACATTCTGTATTAATGGTTAACAGCAGAAGTTGTGAAAATTATATTGCAGAAAAACTGCCCAGATGCTACTCTATTTTTAATGCTGTGCGCATTTATCCAAATTACTCTGAACAAATCTACCTTCAAAAATACTTCAATTTTTTTCTATACAATTTTAACAAGTGCAAATCTTAGAAGAAAACAGTACAATTCTACTGAATTGACAAGTACCACATGCTCCTTGTACTTCCACGTGGTTTTGAGTGCATGCACATGTTCTGTTTTCGCACACTGCATTTCTTGCCTCACACTCTGCATGTGTAGAGCACCTGGAGCCAAGTCTTTGCAGAGGAACTGTAATAAACAAATAATAATGTTCATTTAGTGATTTTCTTTACCTTTATTAACATGTATTTTGTCGCAGCTTCAATTCAACATACTGAATACTCATTCTCATTGACAGCCATCATAACATTAACACAACTGACCTTTTTTTTAAAAGATCAGTGAAACTCAAAAATCCTCCTGCACTTGCTACAGTAAATATACATATACATGTACAAAGACACTATTCAAAGAGAATGTAATGTACAATATTAAAACACTTACTACACTTGTCTATGATGGCTATGTAGACAAAGCCAGCTCTACACAGACATTGTCCATTGTGACATAACGTGTTGGTGTGAAGACACTCTTCCTGTCTGGAACACTGAAATGTCAGGCTCTTCTTTGGCTCTGGGTGATAAAGAGAGAACACATGTAAGAGTATCAGTATCAGAGTTTTGACTTCTGATCACATCATTTGGAAAATAAACATCTTAATGCCTTAAAATTTGACATTTTCTAAAATTGATGTAAAAAATTAAACCTCAACTTCAAAATTGGACAATTCAAAACCGGTGACATTGACAACAACAAAGATCTTTCCTCGTGATGTGCATACATACAGATCAAACACAGAAGTTCAAAATCTGCCCTTATTCAATATACCTACCACATGTGTTACTGGTTTGATAGAATGAGGGATGACATACACAATATTCCTGTATACAGACTGCCCTGTTATCTACACATCCACTGCCAGGAAGACATGGGTTTCCTAGGCCACCACGACCAACTGAAATAATACATAAATTATTTTATTATAAAAAGCAGGAAATGAAAAAATCTCAATCAGTAGCACAGGAATTGAGAATGTAAGTTTACAACTGTGGAATACTTTTATGACTATTCAATATATATAAAATTATTTAAATTAATAATTTGACACGAAATACTATACAAACAAAAATTTTGTGAAATCACAGATTTTTTATAACAACAAACTTCTATTTTGTAAACATAAATGACTGCAAGTAAATAAAGAAAATACATTGATTCTTACTGATCAAAAGGCCTACAATGCCTACATATCTACAATTTAAAAAAGATAGATAATGAGATGCCTAGTACTGATAGTATATATTAGAGACAACTCACCACACTGTCCCTCCAGTTCAAAGTGACTGGGTCCACACTGACAGGTGCCCTCTGCTGTACACACTGTGTTATCACTGGCACAGGCTGCAGTAGTGGTGCATGGTCTGCCTAGAGATACCTTACTCACTGACGGGGTACCAAAATATTTTTATGTAGTGTTACTTTTTAATTAATATAACAATGTCAATGACACAGGTTGATTCTTTGCTTGTATAATACCTTTCCAACTGCCAAATTACTGATCAGCAGATATTGAATTACAAGATGATTTTGTTTTGTGTAGGATTTCGTTCATCTAATTCATTTAAGGGACCTTATACATGTACCTCCACCATGCAAAACTTGTCTTCTACCAACATTCACAATAGCAATAAGAAACCATTATTTTTTTAACAAATGATAAAACATGTCTCAGTACAAATGTCATGCTCATCTTCATCAAAACTCACAATTTCAAAGTGAAGTCAGGACGCAACACTACTTACGGCACTTCCTCCCATCCTGGTAGAAGTCAGCAGAGCAACCACAGCGCCCTCTAGTGCAGACTGCATGCTGGTCATAGCAGACACCACCAGGTGCACACATGTGGTCAAGTCGCCCCAACTGTCCCTCCTCTGGCTCAGCCACTATTAATAATATAGTAATGTTTAACTTCATATTATAAAAGAATTTCTACTATCAATTACATTTTCTAGGAGGTGATAAAATTTTTCCAAGCAAATTTTAAAAAAAGTTTCAAGTCACATTTACAAGGTGCTTGCATATATTTTGGCTTACCACAGATTCCATTCTGTTCCATGAAGCTGTTGCTGCACTTACAGACTCCTCCCAAACACTGTGCGTCCTGTGTCTGGCAGGCGTCAGAGCTGGTGTTACACGGGGAACCCAGGGGGATTCTGGGAACTGGAACAATTGTGTAAAATTTGAGTAAAAATGGAGACACTTCTGTGTATAAAGACTACACCCAGACAGCCTCAATAATCTGGCCCANACTCTGTGGTATCGTGGCTGATACGTACCCACATTCGGCCGTTTCTCGGAATAATTCATTTTTTGCTTTCTCCATTTTCGCGTCTTGGTGTGTAGAGCGGCGTCCACGCACAACGGGTGGCATTGTCCTCTGCTTGCACCTCAAGTAATTTTCTTTTTGTTTGTTAGCGCTTCCTTAGACACTTCCTAGACAGTGCACAGACTCCTACTGCGTCAGGCACAATTATGATTAATTACGTCAGTGAAACGAGAGTAGGAAGGCCTACTCAGCTGTCAATCATTTCTCAGGGAAGAGCGGCTTTCGTGGTGCGAATAAGTTTGCGTACAAAAGTAAGATTTTCTGACATTTAGATAGAAACAAACAACCCAATTTTAACACGTAATGGTGTATAGACCTTCCCGATCAATAAGATGATAACAGGTAAGGTGGAGGTGCAATTAGTTTGCTAAATTAGCCCAATTACCTGAGCCAAATGGTTTATGAGCGATTTCTCAGCTTTGAAGATTGATAACATAGTCTAAACTTCAATCCCCATATCTCATTCTTTTCCTGTCAGATTGACATGAAATTTGTTGTGTCTGTGTTTCAGTATAATATCTAGTCGACTGCGTCTTGGGTTCTTGATTGACTTTTTATTTTTGAAGTTATTAATACTGAAAGTGGATGGTCCATATATATTTCGTAAAATTCACGTTTTATCAAAATAAAATCAAACGTAAAAATAATAAGAGAAAATCCTGACAGAGTTTACTGGTTTATGTGCTAACCTTTAGATAGCTATTTCAATCGTATTTATAGGGCTTTTTGTTTAAGAGAAAATCTTGATTAAAAAAATGACAATTTTAGCCCCAAAACGCTGATATTACGTCACTCGTGTCACACTGTGACTACAAACTTTGGAAAATTGTTTTGCTTGCTAGACCATATCCTTTAATTAATAGGAAATTTAATTAGCTGCATTAGTTTTGGACTTTTTCGTTAATATCCTAGACCCCTTAAGGAATATATATGTGAATGCAGATTTTGGTATGCTCATCTCTTAGAGTATCTATCAATAGTACATTGCGAGAGGAGTGGAATGAAAACTATGTCCACATCTAATGTTTTAGAATAAAAATGTAACTAAGCATAAACAAAACTAAAAATCATGAAATCCCTGAGAATAACCTACCACATCTGTGTTCTCTTGGTTCAGATCCTCTGTTACATAGGCAGAAACCTTCCCTGCAACTGGCTTGGTTGTCCATGCACTCTTCATCCGTTGAACACCCCTCACCAACCTGAGCTTTGGGAACTAGTGAATGTAATTCAGAACAAAACTGATGAATTAAGAAATATATTGTAGAGAAAGGTGGAGAAGAACATTAAGTTCATATGCAAGATAAAAAAAACATTTTTTAATTCAAAGACAAATCTAATTCTGAGAGGGGTTTCTTTTGCTAATTACTATAATTGCCAACATGCCATTAAAATTACCATGGTGGTTATACTTACTGCAGATACCATTGCTTAGATAATGTGTTGGAAGGCAGTGACACTGCTTTCCCTCTGAACAATAGGTGTCAGTCTGAAAGCACTGGTGTCCTGGTTGAACACAATAGGAGCCAACCTGGCCAGGTTTACTGCTTGACACTTGAAAAAAATTTTAAGACCATGTAGCAAAGATGTTTGTGAAAAAAACTACAGAAATAGAAACAAACAATATCATTTTATACTAATATACTATTTCTTGCTTACATGTATAAGTAAAAATGTACTTCACTTTTTAAAATTGTTTTAAATGTTGCCTTCATCCACAGTCCCCTCTTGTAAAATAACTTACCACACTGCCCTCTATCTGCCAAGGCCCCCTCAGGACATGTACATTCATTGTCCAAGCAAACCAAACCAATCTTACACATCTCATCAAAAGTACACAGTTCTCCAAAGTTGGACCTCAATACTGGAACGTAGGTAAAAAATAAAAAAAATAATAATGACTCCAAGATGGTAATAATCTGGTCTACCATGAACCATGTAAAACAGTACTTATTAATACTTTCTCAAACTAAAGACAATATTGGACAAATATATAAAATAAATGTTCAACCTTTTATTAACAAAAAGGAGGTACTTACCACATGCATCATTGCTGTGAAATGCGTCATCTGCACACAAGCAGACGCCATTGAAGCAGGCCATGTTAGGTCCAGAACATACTCCATCCTGCCTACAGGGCCCAGACAGAAGACCCCTTAGCTCTAATATAGCAGAAAAAATGCAAGTCATGATCTTCATAAACAGCAACATTAACATTCAAAAGGTGGAAAAAAATCATTATAAATTTGTAAATTGTGGAGAAAGTAAGGAATTATCTGCATTTGCTCACCACACTTCCCAGCCTTCAGATAATGAGTTGTTACATCACAGAGACACAGGTTCTGATGACATGATGCACCATCAATACTGCAACTGTCTCCCTCCTCACAGTCTGCATTCAAAGCAACTATAGGCACTGCAAGAACAATAATATTATATTAAGTTTTTATATTCATTATCTACAGAATAAGTACATTTCTAATATATGCAATATCTTGTCATTCAACCATGCAGCATGTACTAGTATTCCTTTTTTATACTTATTTTACATAATATTTTTTTCAGATTGAATTGTGAAGAATTACACTAAAATGCAATTTAAGTGTATGTAGGTGTCTCAAATCTATGTTGACAGTTGCTGTTAGTTGGTTATCAATGTTCATATTTTTGTCCTTTTGACAAGAATTAGTTTTCATAGGGATATTCTTTTCAGGCCTGTAAAAGCACACACTTCAGTTATTAAGTTTCTAAAATATGAGCAGTAATCAAAACTATAAAACTCTTTTCTCCTTATTACTGACTGTCAAAATCCTCCCATTTTTAAATAAAAAACCAACCTGATCTTTCACACACTTCTACCTACCACAGCTGTCTTGTTTCCTAAAGAATCCATCTTGACAGCTGCAGACCCCGCCATCACATACAGTACCTGGCTCTGGACACTGAGCAATGGTATCACAGACTACCACACTTCTCTCTGGAACTACAATAACCATACTATCAACTTTTTAACTCCCATTTTACTCCAATTTTTTTAAAATTATACATACCAATGTTCTATTTCTTTAAGTCTAACATTTATCAATAAGTCTGCCAAGAGCTAAGGCTGCTTATGATGAGTTTTGCAAAACCATGTTTAAAGTTGTTACTAACAAAACACTGTTTTGGGAATTACAAAATCAGTTCTGTTTAAATCCATTGGGCAATTAATGCATATAATAAATATTTCCTGGAAAACATATACATTTACACTATTTTTTAATCCATTTGTAAGCAAGAGTACAATAATAAGGTCATATCTATAACAAACATACACCATATTCTGGAAAGTCTTTGAACCCATACCACACTGTGCATATACAGTGTATCTTACCACACTGTGTCCTATGCTGTCTGTACCCTGTCTCACATACACATGTTCCCTCCACACAGGTGGTGTCCTGATCTGAGCAGGCTCTCCCAGGTAAACAAGGGCTCTGGAGTCTGCCACGGGCAGCTGGAAATAAGAAAAACATGAAAATGGAAATACTTTTTGCTGATTAGATAATTGATTTAAAAGTAGGCTGTTTCTGGATATAATTCACGTACATTTGGTCTTGTTTTTCTCTTCAGAAGTACACATTACAAGCAGATATATTGCTTTCATTTCTAACATATGATGTGACCCATAATCACATTTGTAACTTATAAAACACACTTCATCTTGAATATAACTCTGTTAGTCCTAATATATCAACTAGTAATGTTCTCTTACCACATTTCCCTCTGTCTTCAAAGAACATATCTGAGCAGACACAAACACCATTTCTGCACTCAGCATTGCTGTCCTGGCAGGTGAGGCTTGAATTACAAATGGAACCTATGCTCTTCTTGGGCACTGGAATGTTTTTAACATATTGTTTAAAATAATTTTGAACTTTATAATAATGGTAGACAAAGAGACAAAGCTTTGAACAGTGAAATGGTGAAAAATACAACGGACATTCATTGCTGGTTTAATTTCGCAACAAACATACGTACCACATTTTCCATCATGAGCCACATATCCCAGAATGCAATGGCACAGTCCAACACTTGTGCAATGTGCATTGACATCTGCACAGTCCTCACCACCAGAGGGCAGGCAACGTCCACCTGCTGCGCCTTCATATGACACTGAGACTGAAAAAATACGTGTAAGCTGCTGAGTTACAAAGTTTAGAAAAGTACAAAGTTCTCAAATATCATGGGTAAATTTGGGTCCTTATATGAACATGGACACTAAACATCACAAACTTCAAAATCAGGCAAATTAAAATATGAAAAGCAGATAATTTAATCTTCTTTGAGGACCTTTCCTCACCACATGCATCCAGCTGAAGATCCTTGGAGAAACCTTCCTCACACTCACAACTCCGAGTGGCTTGGCTGCACTTAGCTTGAGGGTCTTCACATTTATCAGCAGGAGTGCAGAAGGCATCCAGCGTTTTCTTAGGAACTAAGATTGTAGACAATATTTTGGTCAACATTTTTTTACAGAATGAAGTAAAGATAAAAAGCATGCATCTAAAGTAGAGCAAATCAACAAACTAATTTAAAATTAACAGTTTATATACACAAGGCCCATACAAAAGCATAAAAATGTCAAGACAAATATAAATCACTTCTTCCATACATACTTCACTGAAGCTGAGCATTTGTTTCTACTTACTGCAGAGATTTTGCTTTTCATAATAGTTTTCACTACAGAGGCATATTCCATTGCTACAAAAAGTATTTGGATCCTTGCAAGAGTTTCCATCATCACAAGGGGTATTCAGCTTGCCTTTGGCCTCTGGATAAAAAATGAACACTCAGAGACATGAAATCACATTTTACAACTCCACACTGTGTTATTATGTGAGCTATTCACATATTTTGTGTGAGCCATAAACATGTTTTACCCTCTGTCTTCTTTCCCACACCCAGCCCCCTGAAAATTTCTGTAAGTAGTCATTTTCATTTGAGATAAAAAATAAATAAAAGCAACTGTTACTGTGCCTATCATTTCATATTTGAACTACACTGGAAGGAACAGATGTGGAAAAAATTACAAAAAAAATATATGGTAGGGAAAAATGTAAAATATCAAATATGTACTTACTGCATCTGCCCCCCTGTTCAAAGTAACCATTTCTACATCTACAGGCGTCCTCTCTACACTCTGCATTCCCGTCCAGACACTGGTCTCCTTGCAGACATGTCGATGACAGGGGCACCTTGAGGACTGAAAGATGAAGAAAATATAATTATTATCATTTTTCATGATATACTTATGTGATTAAAAAGACCTAGATCAACATCATTATTATTCATACTTGTAATTGGTTTTTAAAATTTAACTACTATTTACTATCAACAAGTGAACATCTTAAAAATTTGCTTTTTTTATAGTCCACCCCATAATATGCACTAACTACATGCACTCACCACAGACCCCATGTTTGACAAAATGGTCCCCCTGGCACTGGCACTGGTTGTTAACACACTCAGCACTGGGGTCACTGCACCTGTCCCCAGGGAGACACGTTCTACCCAACTCACCCAAGGGTACTAAAACAAATAGGTGACCAAATAACTTACATTCAATATCTTTTTAAGAGTTATTTCTCTATTTATTCTTATCATTTTCAAAGATGATATTATCTTTGAAAAACACTTTGCATATTAATTATTCCATCCCTCAAATGCGGGGGGTGAATGGAAGCCGTCTTCCGGGTCTTTGGAGACGGACAGAATTTTTCAAGTTTACAATGACCACCATTTAATTTTTTCTGTCAGAAGACTCTCAAAAATGGAGGATGAATCAAGAAAGATAATTAGGAAGACTGTCAGAAAATATCTCAAAAAATGCCCTTGAAATGTGTACCAAGATAGTTCAAGAATGTTCATGCAAACCAGTACAGTTTAAGATATATACCTTATATATACTTTTGACATTATACAGCAAGTAGTCATTTAACTTACCACACTTGTCTCCCTGCCTGTGATAGTTGTGTCTACACTGACACATTGTGATGTCAGAGTCCTCTGACCCCCGACAAACCACGTTGTCCCCCTCACATATATCTTCCTGATCACACTGGCTGTTGTACGATACATGGGGAACTGAGAACAGTAAAAGGAAAGTAAAAAAAAAATTATCTAAGAGAAACAATTAAACAAGTGAGACACATATAGTTTTAAAACAAAGAGGATTTGGTTTCATAATCTACATAATCATGTGAAAAATAAAGTGTTTTTCACTTATATAATGGGCAGATTGGTTAATTAATTTATTTTTGCTAATTATGCAGTTATTCATAATTTCATATAGATCTGTAAAATGACTGATCCTATGTGGACAAAACAACAAACTGCCATCCTACCACAGAGAGCATTCTTGACAAAGTACCCAGAGTCACAAATACAGACTCCCCTATCGCACACAGAGTTGGTCACTAGGCAGCGTTCTCCTTGCAGACATGGAGTCAAAACTTGCCCATTGGATGCTACAGAGAAAACACAGGAACTATTTAGAACTGGAGAAAAAAATGTCCAAATCTATGTAAATGTTGTGTGGTGTTTGACAGATTTACTACATTTGGCATTAAAAATCTAATGACCATATAAATGGAATTCTTTCCAAAACCAAAACTGCTAAAAGAAATTGTTTTTGATAAACTGTCAAACAAAGCATAGCATTAATCAAAATTCTTATTGCATAATAATAATAATAATGAAACCCACTGCAAACATCCTGGGCATTTGGGAAGAAATCTTGTTTACACACACACCGCTGTTGCTGGCACTCTGCATTTTCATCATCACAAAC